GAGAATGCATATAGTCTTGATTTACATGCATCATCTGCATAAATGTTTTAAGGGTACGATATGGAATACACCGCCAAGGAAGGCCCCCTTGTGTAAAAGCTTGAGAATTAGTCCTTAGGGATATAGCTCGGTTTGGAAGTCTCAGTCTCGCTCATTGTGTGCATGGGATGTATCTTACGCGGCTTAGCTATCCCGACTAGATCCTGATAGTATGTCCTTCTAGTGAGAGTGCACATAGGGTGTGACCTAGCATGTACTCCTAGATTACTCTCGTGTGTTGCTAGCGGCAATACACCATGTGATGTGTTAGTGGTGCTACATGCATGATGATATGTAGTCCATGTCCATTACATGTGCATTTTAATGTTATATGTTAACTTGATATTTTTATGTCTTTGATGAGTGGAATGTGATATTGTTGTTAATCTATCTATGCCATGTACATATACATGTCTTGTTTGTGTTTGGCTATCCAATGTGTATTCCTACATCGTGAGTCAGAGTGAGATATTTCTCACTCCCTTTTCTTTTGTGTTGTTTTCCTTTGATTGTTATACAAGTGATCATCAGCATGAGGCTGATGATGTTGGTGATGAAGCTTAGGCTTCAATGTTGGACTTTGTTCTGATAGGACATGTGACATCGGGGCATAAATAGGATTAGATTATGTTGTTCTTATTATTTTAGAAACCTTAGCATTATGTCTTTGTAATTTTTGCTGATTTTGTTATTTGTTTAAGTCATGGATGTGATACTCTCTATCTGAACACGTTTGATATGTTATTATGAAAGATTATGTTCTTCAAATTTTGTTATCTATGTGTTATAGTATGCAGGGTAGAGGGTGTCACAGCGACCGCAACCGCGATCACAACCGCAATTTAAAACCCTTGAATATGGCCTACTTTGTTTAAGTAAAACAAAGAAAAGAGATTATCATTAGAATTTGCAATGAATAATCGACATATATAAAGAATAAAATAAGAAATTTGAAATTGTATAAATTTTTATTCCACAAATTTTGAAATAAGATATTTCACTCATACATCAAATTATTTCCAAAGCTCTGAATGCTTCTAAACACGCTCATCAATTAAAAATAAAAATAAAACACCCATTAACATTTAGACATTGTGAATAAAACACGACACATTGTCTATTGGAAAATTCCTTGCCCAGGTGATAATAATTTGTTGGGATCAAATTTAGCTTTTCTATCTTCAAAAAGTTTCCATTTGAGGCCGAAGTGTTCCACCCATTCTTGATGTGTTTTGTTACCGGTAAGATATTCCTTGATCTTAATATTTGTATCTTTACAAAACTGTAATATTTTTTGGTTTTGAACTTGATATTTCTCCACCTCATCTAACCCAGATGCAGATTGAAAAATATTTACAGAATAGAAAACATCTTCCTCTGGTATAACTGCTGACATCCTATCATCCCACCTGTGAATTATTAACATGCATGTTCATTCAGTTTAATTCTCACATATGTAAACATCCATGTATATATGATCGCAAATAATTTGGATCAGAAATAACTTGTTCCCATTTCATATCCATAGTTCTCTCAATAAAAATAAAAAAAAAAGTAACATGCGGTTAAAACAATAAGATGCTTGATCTTTTAGTGATATATCACTTTCCTTTTTAGAAAAGTACTTGGAAAGGAGATGTTAAGGTCACAAAAATGATTTTTTTTTTATGGATATGATTTATTCAGTGTCTTAAGTTAATAAATTAAGGACTAATTTGCATACACAAAATGTAATTTTTATTAGTCAAATATTATTTTAATATAAAAATGATAGATGATTTAAATAAATTTTTTGTCACTTTTAATATTAAATTATCTAATAAACTTACTTGTTTCGGTTCATGGGGTAGACTAAACATGCACCGGGAGGACAGGAGTGCAAACATCCCCTACACACTAACGCATCAACATCTAGGTCACAAAATATCTCAATCCTTCCAAACTTACTCCTTTCCACCTCAAATTCATATCAAAGCCAAACAAAGAAAACAAAC